TTCCTACTGTTGGGAATTTCACAAAAGCACCAGGCTAACAGCCGTGACACACCTGCAGGATTTGGTGCAGACCCATTCATGCCCATGCTTGACATTTGTTTCAGTCTCTGTGAACACATGTGAGTCCTGTTTAGCTGATTTGGTGGGCCATGTTCTCCTGGTGTCCTTCACCACCTCTGACTCCTAAAATCTTTCCTCCCCCTCTCCTGAGTTCTAAGGAGAGGAACTCTATGGGGACCTCCAGTTTAGACACTCTGTGAATAATGTCTGGCTGTGGGTCTATATGTACCTGCTCCGTCTGCTGTTGGAGGAAGCCTCTCTGAAGACAACTGGACAAGGCACAGATCTATGAGTATAACAGAATGTCATTAGGAATCATTTCATTGATTGTTTTTCTCAGTTGTGTTTACTTCTACCCTAGGTCTTTGGGCTATCTAGTCTGTAATTCCTGGCGGTTCTGGCAGTGTAGGGCATGTGCTCCCTCTTGTGGCATGGGCTTCCAGTTAAACCAAACATCTGTTGGCCACTCTCTTCATAGCCTCCAGATTACCATCAGGTACCAAAGAGACTAGAACATAGGGGGTAAAGGCTCCATGCAGGCACCAGCTTGACCTCTCTACCTGCAATGAACTGTGTGGGAGTTGTCAAGTGGTCTTTGGCAATGGGGCCCCACTATCAGTTTTCAGAGAGGAACCTTCCATCCTCTGTGGCATCAGCCACAGAATCTTCTTGGCCAGCATCAAAGTAACCCAGTCACTCCACTGGAAGCCTTGCCTGGCAACAGAAGGATGGCCAGCTCAGACTCAATATCCTCCATTCATAGGAGCCCTTTCTAGGGTCACACTCATTGATTCCATGAACTTTCCACTGCACTAATTTTCCACACTGCCAGATGCCCCCCAATTCTAGCTGTCTGTCTCTATGTTTTCTCCCTTCATCCCATCTCTCCCAACCCTGATCCCTCCCTCTTCTATCCCCATCTGGCCCCAGTCCACCTGCAGAATCTATTGTCTTTCCCCTTCCCAGGAAGATCCCGGCTTCCCCCTTATATCCCTCATCTTTATCTAACTTTGCTGGGTGTGTGAATTATAGCTTGATTATCATCTGCTTAACAGTTAATATCCAATAATAAGTGAATACATAACCATATTTGTCTTTCCGGGTTTGGTTTACCTCACTCAGGATGACCTTTTCCTAGTTGCATCCATTTACCTGCAAAATTCATGTGTTTTTTTTAAACTGCTGAGTAATATGCTATTGTTTAAATGTATCACATTTGCTTTATCCATTCTTCAGTTGAGGGATAGTTAGATTGTTTCCAGATTCTAGTGATTATGAATAAAGCCGCGGTGAATATAGCTGAGCAAATGTCCTTGTGGTGTGATTAAGCATTCTTTGGGTATATGCCCAAGAGTGGTATAGCTGGTAATGTGGGAAATTACCAATACGGAGCCAGGTAAAAATGCAAGGGAATTTAATAGGGAAAAGCCTTACTTACAGAGCAACCTAGCTAGCCAGCAGGGCAGCAGTAAGTACAGCAAGCCTAAGATGAAAGCGAAAGCCGGCCACCACGTAAGTGCCCCTCACTCTTAAACTTTCCCTACATCACCTTGACCACACTCTCACAGGCGTGGTCAGGCACACCTGTAGCCAGCCCCTAAGCAGGTGTTGCTACAGCATCCCCTACAGCTGGGTTTTGAAGTAGACCAATTCTCAACTTTCTGAGGAACCACCGTATTGATTTCCAAAGTTGCTGTACAAGTTTGCACTCCCACCAGCAATGGAGGAGTGTTCCCCTTGCTCTACATCCTTGCCAGCATAAAGTGTCACTTGTGTTTTTGATCTTAGGCATTCTGACAGGTGTAAATGGAATCTCAAAGTTGTGTTGATTTGCATTTCCCTAATGGCTAAGGATGTTGACTATTTCTTGTGTTTCCAGCCATTTGAGATTCTTCTATTGAGAATTCTCTGTTTAGATCTGTAATCCAATTTAATATCTAGTTTCTTGAGTTCTTTATATATTTTGGATATTAGGCCTCCTTCTACGGGATGTAGAGTTGGTAAAAATCTTTTTTCATTCTGTAGGTTGCATCTTTGACCAATTGGCAGTGTCCTTTGCCTTACAGAAGCTTTTCAGTTTCATGAGGTCCCATTTACTAATGGTTAATTGCCTGTGCTATTGGTATTCTGTTCAGAAAGTTGCCTCCTGTGCCAATGCATTTAAGGCTCTTGCCCACTTTCTCTTCTGTCAGATTCAGTGTGCTTGGTTTTATGTTGAGGACTTTGATCCACTTCGATTGTGTGGGGTGGTAAATATGGATCTATTTTCATTCTTCTATATGCAGACATCCATTTTGATCAGCACTGTTCATTGAAGATCCTTTCTTTTTTCCATTGTATATTTCTGGCAACTTTATCAGAAATCAGGTGTCCATAGGGATGTGGATTTATTTATGTCTGGCTCTTCAATTGAATTCCATTGATCAATGTGTTTGTTTTGTGCCAATACCATGTGATTTTTATTGGTATAGTTCTGTAGTAGAGCCTGAACCTAGGGATCTTGATACCTTCAGCAGTTCTTTTATCAAAATTCCACACAATTCTTTACAGAACTTAAAAGGACAATTCTCAACTTCATATGGAAAAATAAAAAAACCTAGGATAGCTAGAACAATCCCAAACAATCAAATGTCTTTTATTTAATTTTGATGTTTCTCTATTTTTTTTGTTTACCTATAAATTAGAGAAAGTGGATATTTGGAGCACAGTTTGGTGGATATAATATCGTTATATTGTTTTTATTTTGGAAATTCAGTTTTTCTTTCTCTTCTAACTGTGGCAGGTAGTTTTTCATTGTACAGTAATCTAGGTTAGCAGTTTTGGTCTTTTAGTGTTTTTATTGAGACAGATGATTATGAGCCACCATGTGGTTGCTGGGAATTGAACTCAGAACCTCTGGAAGAGCAGCAGTAGTCAGTGCTCTTAACCCCTGAGCCATCTCTCCAGCCCAGCATTCAGTATTTGTTTGTTGTTATATATACTTAGTGTTTTAACTATGATACTCCATGGAGTTTCTTGTCTTTTCCAACTGGTGTTCTGTGGGCTTCTTGTGTCTGTATGGCTATGTCTTTCTTTAGTTTGGGGAAGTTTTCTTCTGGCCTGGGATTCTTCTCTCATCTATGCCTGTAATTTGAAGATTTAGTCTTCTCATTGTGGCCCACAGTTCCTGCATGTTGCTTTTCTTTGCTTAAAAAAATGTCATATTCTTGTTTGGTGTTCTAATTCCTTTATTTTAGTTTTGAGTCCTGCTTATTTTAATGCTACTTGATCCATTCTACTTGCTAAGCTTTCCCTTGAGTTTCCGAGCTGGGTTATTGAGTTTTAAATCCTTTCTTCATTTCTACTTGAGCTCTCTTCAGTATTTCTGTCTTTTATTGAACTTAATTTTCAAATTCTGTGTTTTATTTGTCATTTCATTCAGCCTTTTGTCTTTTTTTAGTCATCACACACTTATTTTCTTTAAGTTTATTCTTTGTAAATTCATTGAACTGTATCTTTCTTAAGTGTCTTGAATTCTTTGACATTCATGATTATTCTTTTAAACTGTGTGTTTTGGGGATTCTCTTTGGGGAACATTTCTATAGGAATGGTGGATTTTTTTTTGGGGGGGACACTATCTTGATCTTTCATATTGTTTGTGCTTTTGCAATGAGACCTGGGTGTGTGAATTTCTTTTGTTAGTTCTGGGTCTGATATGAACACAGAGTTTGTAGGGCAGGTGGACCTGGTGGTTGGATATGGTGTGGGTATGATAAAGTTAGGTGGACATGAGAGACTGCTATGCTATACAGGATGTATGTGGGTTTTTGTCCAGTTGTGGCACTTTGGGGTGGCTGCCTGGCTTGACCATGTTAGGTCAGAACACAGGATATGACCCATCCTAGATCTAGGGATTGGAGAGGGTACCTGGTGGGGATGGTCTGGTGCACTTAATAGGCTGGGTCCCATTGTAAGATGTGCAGGGTTGTACTGGGCCTGGAAGCTGGATGTGGCAGAGGGGGGATGACATCAGCTGTTAAGAGGCCATCTTTGCTGGTGGCAGGAAGTATTTCCTGGCTCAAGTCTAGAGGTTGGGGGTAGCAAGTGTCCTGGTCAAATCTCAGATATTGGGTGTGGCACTACCAAAACTAGCCTGGGGCAGCAAGATGCTGGATCAGCTAGAAGCAGGCCTTGGGGAGGGTGTGTGAATGGTAGAACTAGTAGACTGTCTAGGCTGGGACCAGACCAGTCAGAGAGGTTGGATGTGGGGGAGAGGTGAAGTTCTAACACTGTTTGGTGAGAAGCTAAGGATTACATTAGTCATTGTTTCACTGCTGTGACAGCATACATGGCAAAAAGCAGTTGCCAGGAGGAGAGGGCTTTTTGGTTTATAGTTTGAGGAGATTCAGTCCACTGTGGTGAGGAAGATGTGGTGGCAGGAGTGTGGTGTGGCTGATCACAATGTTGGTATACATCCACAGTCAATCCAGTTCATCCAGTCGGGGACCTTTGCACAGGGATAACTGCAGCCTACATTCAGGGTGGGCCTTCCATCCTCCCTAAGCTTCCATGGAAACACCCTCCTAGACACAACCAGAGGAGTGTTTCTTAGATGACTCTAACCAGTCAAGTGACAATGAAGATTAATCATCACCAGTGTGAGTAAGGAGAGGAACAATTTTAATCCATGAGTATGTGGTTTCTCAATCAAAGGATGCATGGTACCTTTAGGCAGGGGAATAGTTTCAGTGATCTGTTGTACAACATTATTATGTACTTCAAAATTGCCAAAAGTAGTTTAAGTGTTATTACCACAAAGAAATGAGAAATGTAAGAGATAATGGATATGTTAATTAGCCCAGGTTAAGCATGGTACAAACCACTTGTGAATAAAATGAAGAAAGTGTGCTATGTGCAATGCTATACTCTTTTTTTCAAAGATTTTTTTTCTCTTATTTCAGACAACCTAATGAGGCCTCTTTTGAATTATGGTATTGCTTGGTGAGTGTATTTTTAAAATTTTGTGTTTTCTAAAAAGTACTATTAACTTGTACAAATGAGTTGTATTTTTGGATTACTGTTGCAGTATGTCTATGGGATTTTTGGTTGAAGAGACTGCTCCAGTTGTTTGGAGAGGCCTTATGGTAATGTCAGCCATTGAGAAACTATTGAGACAGGTAAGGGAGTTGTATTAAATATTATTTACTGTAGCAGGGTTGTGGTTAATGCATTTGCCTTAGGAAGAATTGTTAGAATTTGCAGCCGGCATTGAGATACATGACTGGCAAAGAAATCTACTTGATAGGTGGGAAGTGTAATGACTAATGGGTACAGAGACCAAATTTCACCAACTTATCTTCTCGCTGCGTATGAGTGTAACAATATGTTGTTTTACTTTATATTGTTTTCTGAATCTGTTGTAGGAAGAGAAAGTCTATATAGGTTTATGGTTAATCTTACAGTGGCCAGTAATGAATTATAGGGACCATGTCAAAATTCTTCAGATATAGATGAGTGTATATAGAGCCATGATGGCTCTTGTGATTGAATTTCCTTCACAACAGCTGTTGTTATTATTATTTTTACTGTATGTGGTTCTGTTGTTGATTTTTCTTAGTGCATATTCTGTCAACTTAATTCCTAACAAAAGATATCATATATGATTGCATAACCTCAGTGTACCAGGTGGGCTGTAGTTCTTTTATAGTTTGCTTAGAATAAATGGTACTTTTTCTCAGTAGATGAGAAGTTATAATTGTGTTTTAGGTAAATATTAGATCTGTCACAGCAGTTTGCAGTTACCCCTTATTTGTTCAGAGTCTACATTGGGTTTGGCATCACCCTATGGGTTGTCCTCTATGGGATGACCAAATGATGAATATTTCTGATTTGATTGTCAGATGGTTGTGCAACTGATGAAATAGGCCTTGATCTCTGAGACTCTGTCTCTCTAACGCTTATGCTCTTTTTGATCTTTGGGCCAGAGTCTTCCTAAGGCTCCAGTTGTTAAGCCTTTGGCTGCATTTCCTCCTCTTTCCACCCAGGTCCTGTTGGTTATTACAGTTATGTGACCCAAATGCCCCCTCCTCACCAGTTCCTCTGTGCCTGTGACCTCTGTTTGTCTGAGCCCAGCTTTCTATTCTTTATTGCTGAATACTGTCAGAAAATGTAGAATAATTGTGTTAATTGCCTGTAGTGCACAAATTGGGTCTCCAAAGTTAGTCACCATCTGAACACTTGAGTCAGCTGATTTTACTCATTCTCAACGTTTGGCAAAAGCTCAGTTTAGAAATATTTTACGAATTTGGGGAAAAGAAACAAGTTGTACAATGTGTGAAATTTTATCATTGTAATCCTTTATTCCCTTTAAAGGTAGGCTGCAGCCTGTGGCAGTGTCTTCTTCATTCCTAATATTAGTTACTTGTGCATTTTCTCTTTTATTTTCTATTGTTCATAATCTGGGCTTTAAAGAAGCAACTTCTGGCTTTTAAAATATTCTGTAGTCTATGTCTACTCACTACTTTATGGCTTCCTGCCTTTCATCATTTTCATCATGATAATGCTTTTGATCATCGTGGGCTTAATTTACTGTTGTTTTTCTAGTACCTGGAGGTGCTACATCTCTGGGCTTTAATGACTTACCTTTTTCAAAGTTTATGTTTGTTTCTTGCTGAATTTTTTGGGTGTTGATGTGAACCTGTATGAATTCATGTGCACTCTAAATGTTCAGGAGTCCACAGAGGGCAGAAGAGCTTGTCAGGTGCTCAGGACTGGAGTTACAGGTGATTGTCATCCTGCCACCACGTGAGGGCAGGACTCAAGCCCAGGCCCTCTGCAGGAGCAGTCAGCACTCATAGTTCTGAGCCCTCTCTGCAGCACTGGGAAATTTCTTCTTTTTAAAATAGAAGTAGTTAAGGATGCACACCGGGCTTTGCTTTGAATCTCACAAATTCTGGTTTTCTTTAAGTTTTCACTGTTACTCAGTTCCAATTAATTTTAAAATTCCTTTTGTTTGTGGAAATTTCTAAATATTGTTGAATTTTCCTAAGAGCCTAGTCCTATTGGTTTCTAGTGAAATTTGTTTTGGGTAGATGTGCTTTATAGTACTTTAGCAGGTTTGGAAGATGTTTTGTGGATCTGTGTATGTCCATCTTTGTCAATACTCTGCTTTGGCTAGTTAGGATTTACTTTATAGTTATTGTGGCTAATGTTCTTCATTTAGATTATGTTTATTGACAGTGTTGTTCAAATTTCTTATGTTTTTATTGATTCTTTTTGCCTTGCCATTCTATAACTTTGTAACTAAAAAGGGGCTTAGATTTTGCTTCATATATTTGAAAGCTATATTATTATATATACATGTTTAGAATTGTTACTCCTTCCTTGTGAACTGACCCTTTTATTGTTGTGAATTGTTCCTCTACGTCTCTGGCAAATTTCTCATTTTGAGGTCTGCCTGATGCTGACACAGCCAAATGAGAATCTTTGCATATGTCTTGATGGTTGATGTTGCCTGCCAAGATGGGATCTAGACTCACAGAAGAGATGGGCTTCTGAGCATGTCCGTGAGACACTGTGTCGATTAGATTAGCTAACTGAGGCGGGAAGACTCACACTAAATGTGGGCAGTGGCACAACGTGGGCTGGGGCCCCAGATTGAGAAGGGGAGAGGGAGCTTCTCTGCTCCTGACTGTAGTGTCAATGCTCCTAGCTGCTTAAAGCTCCTGCAGCTATGACTTCCCACCAGAGGTCACTGGACCCTAGAAATGTACGCCAAAATAAACCTTCTGCCCGTAAGCTACTTTGTTCCAACTAATGTAGTTTTCTTTTTACTCACCTCTCAAACCTAGATTAAATCCTGGGTCTTGTACATGTTAAGCAAGCTCATTGAACTACACCCAAGACCGTCAGATCGTTAAACATCAGCTTCGTTATGTTTAAAGTGGGTCAGTAGATGTTTAGCTGTGTCTTGTTGTTTTATCCAGTTTAATAATTTTTGCATTTTAATTGGATGCTGAATTTATACATGACATAATTGTTGCTGTGATTGAGTTTGTCTTTTATTTTGACTTTTCCCATATTTGTTTTTTTTTCCTTCCAGGAATCGAGATTGTTTTACATGTCAATCCCAGTTCTCTCTCCCTCCTCTTCTCCCCTGCCCCCCACTAACTCACTATCCCATACCTTTTCTGCTCCCCTGGGAGGGTGAGGCCTTCTATGGGGGATCCTCAGAGTCTATCATCTCATTTGGAGCAGGGCCTAGGCCCATCCCCCGTGTCTAGGCTGGGAGAGTATCCCTCTATGTGGAATGGGCTCCCAAAATCCATTCATTTGCTAGGGATAATATTTGTCACACATTTTTTTTTCAAAATAATCTTATATTCTTTTGGATAAATGAAATAATTTTCTATATTCAGTTAAATTCTCTTCAGTTTTACCTTCTGGTATTATTATGTTGCCGCCTTAGGGTTTACAATATGTTTCTTAGCTTTTCAAGGTCTTCAAGTTAACATTTTAAAAACTCCATTTAAATTATTTTCAGTTTTAATGGTTAGTATTCTTCTCTAGCTGCTTTAGGGATTATAATATATTTCCTGAACTTACCACAGTTTTCTTCAAGTAATGACAGTACAACTGAGTGTGGAGGCATGGAGAGCAGCTGTTTACAGCCATCTTTGCTACAGAACATGCTTGAGGTCAGCTCCCGAGACAGGAGAAATGAACAAGCAAGTGATGTGTAATATAAAGATAAGATCTTTGCAACAATATAGCTCCATTTGTCATTTAATGTACTTCATATATTATGATATAATTTAATGTAATACAAGAATAACCTTGTAAAGCACTGATATATATATATATATATATATATATATAATATACTTAGTTGTGTTTTAAATTAAGAAAACAGTCTTTTATATTCTTTCATGGATTTTTTTTACTCTAGTGGTTTTTACCTGTTTAGTTCTGAGTCTTATTTAGTGTCTCTTTTCTTTACACTAGGAATTTTCTTCTGTATTTTGCTGTGGTGTTTGTCTACTGGCAATCTCTTTTCCCATGGCTCATTTATTGGGAATGCTTTTCTTTCTCTATATTTTCCCTGTATGTAGAATTCTGATGTGACACTATTTTCTTAAGGGCTTTGAAGATATTCTGTTATTTTCTGGCCTTGGTTTTTTATGAAGAGAAATCTCCCATAGTTTCTCTAATGTTATCTCATGAGCACTGTATTCTTAGGCAGCTTTAGTAATTTCCTTTTAACCTTTTGTAATTTATCTTTAACTCTTTATTCTTGCTTGTCACATACATATTGATGTCCTAGATTTAAGTACATAGAGCAGTAGCTATGGACATGGCCTTATCTGCCTGATTTTATTCCCTTCTGCACACTTTATAGTTGTGTAACTCAGGCACACTCCTCTGAGCTTTGTTTCCTTCATGTGTATAGTGGGGTTAGTGTTAGCTGCTTCACCATGAAGATTATGTGATTTAATATGTAATATGCCTAGAAAACACAGCACCGTATAAATATCATTCCTGTGTTTTACCACTCATTATGTGACTTTCTTTTCATGTTTTCACATTTCTTCCGTTGATGGTCTTTTAGGATTATTCCTTCCCTGGAGCAAAGTCAGGTTCTTTCTAAGAAGTTATGTGTTGTTTCCCCAGTACCCGTGGACATTATGAACCTGAGGCAACTTCTTTCTTTTAAGTGCCTGGGACTACTCTGATTGTATGAATTTAGAGTGGAAAGCTGCATGAATGCCTACTTGTGGTTCATGCTAATAAGAAGGTGCCCCAATTCCATTTCCTTTGGCTAAGACAAAGTTGATAGATGCATGTTTCTTTGTAAATCATGAATTCCAGTTACATTTAAAGAGGACTTGGTCCTTGAAGTCTCAGCATTATGTAGAGCTCTCTCATTAGACTCCAGTTTCTTTCATGCAGTTGACTTTTTATTTCTTTTTTAATACTTAATGTATTTTACTATTAGTGGGTTATTAGCTTGTTTGGATAGTGGTTCTCCAGTGTGTTTGCATAAGAGGATCATTGAGTAATCTTTTAAGAACTTCGATTTCAGGTTTCATCCCCATGACAGTTAAATCACACACTGGCTGTGTGACCCAGGTGTTGGCACCTTTGGAGCTCTTGGCTTGATTCTAGCCTGTGAATGGGTTTGGGAACCTCTGGTTTGCAGAGCTTTAAAAATGGCATAGTCCATTGAGAAGAG